CCTGCGTTGGGAAAAGCACTCTTCCCAGGCGGAAGAACACGTGCGCATTAATAAACACTGTCATATGAAACTATTCAAGTTTTATTAAAACATATAATTAACAGTTGACGTTTCATAGCCAAGAACTTGGGGATATCGTAAAAAAAGAAATTGCTCACCTGGAGATGTTTCCTATCGTCCGATTTGGCGAGGCAGTCGCGCGACCCCGCAGCTAAGCTTCATGGATAGAGCGAGCTCTACCGCAGCCGTAATAGGTTTCAAGTTGGCGAGCTATAGCAGGAGGAGGCTGATTCTACAGCTGATCAGGTCGGACGAGCATTAGGCCTCGACAAGCGGTCGAGGTCTCGTTTTCAAGTTGGGACCGGTGGCTGTTTCCGCTGCCTCTCGAGCTTGAGCAACTATGAAAACGTGAAAAACGGGAGATGTCTTGTCCCGTGTACCGTGGAAGAAACAAATGTTCAGGTTGCCTTTTCACAAGCTATGCAGAGTGCCGCGTAGATGACACACCGAAGGACGCGCTGTGTTCGCCTGGAGGACAGGGCTGTCCAGCTTCGGTTATGAACAACGTGTTGTTAAGACGATTAAAAAAAACAGCCATGAGCGGCGGTGAACTTGACCCTCTGAGGAGGTTGGGGGAGGGAGTTGCGGTTGGTATCAGGGATCGGGAGTCCGCGTTTGGAAAATGCAGTTCCGCGAAACCACGTTCGCACCAAGTCGGCAACGCAACTGATCTTCGGTTATAATTCACCGTTTCACCCTCCGACACTAAAGGCAAGGCGCGTCAGAGACTCGCAACCGTACATTTGTTGTTTCCGGGAGTTGGTAGCGAGTGTCACTCTCTTGCCGTCCCTGGATTCTTCTTCATCTGTGTCGTCCTGCGCAAACAACTGAGAAGATCTCGCGCATTACTTTCTAATGCGTTAGCATTAGAACGCTCGTTTTAATGAAAGCCCGGCGGTCTTTCGTTTGTCAGCGCCGAGGAGAGAGAGAGAGGGGGGAAAGAGTGACGCGTGCGACGCTCCCATTGGTCCGCAGCGCTGACGTCAGCACGCGTCCTCTCCCTCTCCCCGGCGCTGACAAACTGCAGCAGACACAGCCGGGTTTTCGTCCCCAAAGAAATTGCCTCCATCAGTGACCATCAGTCCTTTGCCTCCGCTCTAGACATGTTAAACCTTGAAGTCTTGTATCCCTGCAATATTTTTTGTTGTCCGTGTCTTGTTTTTGATTCACATGTTTTTATTGTTCGCCATATTTTTTTTTATATCTTAGCCCCTTCCCCCGGCAAACAGGGAGCTAAAGTTGAGGCTTAGGCGAGTTGGTACATACTTCGGAATTAAAAACAGCGCGAAAAGACGAGGACCAGACAAAGAAGTGACACGGACGTAGCGTTGTTGTCTAGTCTTATTCTCTGTCTGGTCCTCGTCTTTTCGCGCTGTTTTTAATTCCGAAATAGGGAGCGCTCGGCGCGCGCTCGTCGAGCGGATTTTTGTTCCCCTCGCGAGATCCGTGCAGAGCCGTGCATCCGTGCAATCTCTCCATGTGCCATTTGTAGATCTGGATCCAGTAGGGCGCTCGCCGAGCGGCTCAACCGATCCGTGGGAAAGTGGAGGAGCGCGTCGAGCGGTCCGGAATAGTTCTCCGCGCAGATTCCTTTTTTTTTTTTTTTTTTTTTTTTTTTTGAGGAGTGCGATCTGTAGTCACTCTCAACATTTCAGTTACGTTATCAACGTTGCCGTGGGGGAATGAAGGAGTTTCGCTGCTTTTTTTGTTTCGATTGCTGGGTGGCCTCTCTTGCTGTGCTTGTTTTCGTCCCTCTCGTCATGACCGACCCACCCGAGCATACTGCGGCGATGACATCATTGCAGTTAATTTCAGGAGATATAATCAAACACAGTGACAGCGAAGTCAGCAACAGCGACGAAGATACCAGCTCCGCTTCAGCTCGAGTGACGACGAGGCAGCCGTTCTCGGCGAAGTGTTTGCCGAGTCGTTCGCCTTGCCAGCGAAGATGCCCAAGATACCGCGTTGCGTAGAAGACGTTCTGCGACCCTATTTGGATGAAGAGCTAGGTATGTTGTTTGTTCGTTGTGTGGTCTCTGTAATGTAATTGGAATAATTAGAAGACAATACGCCAAATACTCCGCAGATGGAAGTCGCTTTCGGAGATGTCGATCGCTTTACGGCATACGTAAAGCGATCGTGAGCTGATTGTAGACATTCCCGATAATCCCGAGGACATTAGAGCTCTCTGCTGGCAAACCTCAAATGTGTTCCCATAGACCTCTACCCTATCCCCCCCCCCCTTTTTTTTCCCCTCTGTTTGCATTCATCATCAGGAATTTTCACATTACAGCTGTCCTGAGCCGGAATAATAATTATTACGTGTTTGGTATTGCTTAATCGCATCCTCGTACAAACACTTCTAGTTGTCTTCATCGGGTTCATATAACTAAGAAAAAGTAAATTGTGTCTTAACGTCGGAGTCACCGCTAATCAAGTAGTAAACAATCAAATTTTTTTGTCAAAGCATGAAGTTCTGATCAGAACCTCATGCTTACAGCAGGAACACGCTCTGAAAGCGGTGGCGCTGGGAGCGTTAAGCGCGAAACACATGTACGACGAAACCGTCCGATCCGACGTCCGACCGCGCAATACGACGGTCGGAGGCGAGGGTTTTCAACGCTCTCCGATGCTACGAAAACCCTCTCCCCCAAGGTCATTCCGGCAGTCCGCACGTCGGATCGGAAGGTTTCGTCGTACATGTGTTTCGCGCTTTACTCTCGATTTGCTCCGCGGCGCGTGCCACTGGGGTGGATCACGTGACCGATCGCTCACGGAGGCCAACCGCTCGACGACAGCTAGGTTCTAGCGCGAAGCGCTGGGCATCTGCCAGGGGAAGGGGCTATTACGGTTAAAGGCCGAAATTGCGCCAAATGCTTTGTACCTTTATTTTCTTTCTTTGCCTCTTTTCGTTGCCACTTGGTCCAGTTCTGCCAATCTTTGTATCACGTTTCCCTTACGCAATGCCGAAAAGGGCCTTTAGAGTTAAAATGAATAAAAACCGAGCCCTTTCGTTGTTTTCTTCAAAGTCTCGCGCACAGCTGGCGCGGAGCCAGAGAGGAAGACTCGCTAAGTCCCTCGATACTTATTTTTAATGGTAACGACAATACAAAGGACAAAGCACATTCCGCTGGAACAAAATGGCGTCATTCAGTTCAGCCTCTGGTGTGCGCCACCATTCGCTTCCTAAAACCTGCACCGTCACGCAGTCGGCGCTTCAAAGAATGTCGCCACTTGTAGGAGACCCTTATCTAGAAACTTTAGGACGCGCCATGGCACGGCGGAATGCGGGAAGGCTCTATTGCCGCTCCGCCATCGACGGATGTTCTTCGGCCTGGGTTTCCGTAGTAGCGGTGCGTGGGCTGTGATGCGTGTGTGCACACAGCCCACGCTTCTTTCCACAAGCGAAACAGATGTACCCTGACAGACAGAGTAGAGAAAGGGTGAATGAAAATTACTGGAAAATCTATCGATGGATTCTTAGGGAATGCGTGAGCATGACCCTTGGGAAGCGCCACATACGTCCTTCTTTGGAAAGCGCTACCACTGACCCCGTAACGAGGCCAAAAAGAGGCAGCAAAAAAATAGAGAAAGCAAAAATGAGTCAAAACACAAGATTGAAGGGGGTCAGCGTCAGTGTTTCCCAAAGGCGGCATTTCCCAGTGGTCATGCTAACTTATTCCATAAAGATCCACCAATGGATCTTCCTGCAGACTGGCAAGGAGGTTACACTTTGAGGTTAGAGTTTGGGGTTCCAACCGCTATCAAAAGCACGCTGGTATACACTTTATTTGATCAGAATGAATCATTGGAACTCTGCAGAACCCCAAAATCTTATATAAAAAAAAAATTAAAAAGCCAGAACATTCTGCTATACTTCGTTTCAGCTTCCGTCCGAGCGCAGCCAAAGGCTGAAGGACGGTTCGCAACTTCGAGAAGAGCATTCCTACGCACCACAAAATAGTCCGCAAAAGATTTTTTTTTAGATAACTGTTTTGTACGTAAACATTGCACAATGTTCCAGATATGTACTGCTGAGAATGATTTGCAACTAAAGGAACTAAATATCTGAAGTTTATGGTTTTATTAATATATGTAAATGCATGTGGTTTGGTGAAGCACGTACATCCGCTGGCAACACGGCTGCAGCGCTCAGTTTTTCTCGGTGATTTCGTTCCCGCAATTACCGTAATGGCCGAATAATGTGCTTCGCTGCTTTCCTCATCGAGTCGCTTCAGAACGTCCTTTCGCAAAGGCAGGTTTGGGCGTTCTTTCAAATTCGGCAGGAGACTCCGGCCGCGTCGTACCGCGAATGCGTTGTAAACAAGAAAAGCGTCCGGGCCACTCCAATTCACTGATACGCGGCGAAGTCAGGGCACCTCTTTACCTGCCGATCACAATGAACGCCGAGAAGCTGGTGAAAACGACTACGCCTCGAGCCCTGGTATATCCAGACAATGCAAGGAAACACCAACGGCCGGGTCATCGGGCACCTTGCAACCTGTACTTTACATCTCGTAACTATGCCGAACGGGTGGAAAGCTCGGACACAGACGGCAGCGGCCAGCCTACGCACTGACATCCCCTGTGACTAAATTTCAGAACGTGAAAGGGCACTTTTTAAACCTGTAGCAGTCGATAGCGTTGATACACCCGTAGCAGACGAAATACTCGGCGAGCGAGGGCGGCGCGGACGACCAGCGGCGCAGCGGAGTGATACAAAGGTGCAGGCGAGATCGCCTGACCTATTGCCGGCGTCTGATTGGCTACGGCCACACGCAGCTTTGGCTGCGCTCGGACGGAAGCTGAAACGAAGTATAGTAGGCAGATGGCTCCACAAGAATCAACATGGGCAAGAGAGCTCTGACCCATGGGAACTATTACAAGAACCCTATGTATGCCATGAGAGCAATATGTTTCGATTACCGCTTCCTGGTGTATATGAACTAGAAACGAGTCAGCTTTATTGGGTAGTTTTCTGTCATTAGGTGATCATCTTCGAAGACCAGGACAATGTTGACTTCAAATTCTGCAACAAAAGAAGACAGGATGAAAGAATTTTTACAATGTCCTTGTAAACAACGTAGTCATATTCACATCGGAAATGATATACATTGTCATGCGAAGGTCTAAGACATTTTACAATACTGCTAAAGCTTGCTTACACAAAATTTTTTTCAGAAACATACTGCCTGAATATGACGAAAGCTTTACATTTTTACTCGTGAGGTCTGCTAAAACAGACTGCCGGATGAATGAAGCATTACTAAAGCTTGAAAACGGAAATACTACAAGTAATGCAATGCCTTTTTTGTTCCTAATATACATAAATGACTTGATCAAAGATGTGAACGTAAAAATTCGCCTCTTTGCTGATGATTGCATACTTTATTCACAAATAAATAACCCAAATGACCAGATTAACCTAAATAATGCGCTTCAACACATCATAAATTGGTGCCACGACTGGCAGATGGAAATAAATTCGAATAAAACTCTATTTATGACCATAACCAATAAAAGACAATACTCCTTTCCTTACCAGATAAGCAATAGCCTCTTGGAACAAGTCGGCGAATACAAATACCTCGGCCTCAATATAAGTCAAAATTTGCGTTGGGACTCACACATTCACTCCACAACTAATAAAGCTCTAAACAAACTGAGTTTCCTTAAACGAGTCATAAAATTTGCATCTCCTGCCACTAAATTACTAGCCTACAAAACTTTAATATGTCCTATGCTCGAGTACGCCAACGTCGTCTGGTTCCCCCACACAGTCTCCGGTATCAATAAGATAGAAAGAGTTCAAAGAATGGCCGCGAGGTTTATTTGCAAGAAGTATAGTAGGCACGTCTCTCCATCTGAACTTTGCAGGCAACTGGGTCTCTCCTCTTTAGAAAAAAGAGCAAAAACAGCAAGACTTAAATTTCTATACGAATCAGCCAACGATCATTTCAACCTACCAAAAGAAAATTATCTCATCCATACAAGCAAACGATTAACACGGTACAACCATGGCAAGCTTTACGAGGAAGACGTCCCTCATAATAACTGCTTTAAATACTCATTTTTTTTCCCGAACCATTAACGAATGGAACCACCTGCCTCAAAATGTTGTTCATTCCTCTTCTACTGAAATCTTCCTCGATTACGTAGATGCCCACTTTTCATTATAAACTAATATTTTATGCTGTTTTTAAAAGTGCAATGTATCTATTGCATTGAAGTTGTTTACTAATTTTTCATTCTCGACTTCTATATTTGCTTTGAATATTTACCTGCAAATTGTGTGTTGAATATTATTTTTCTGATTGTAATATTTCAAACTGTACCACCCTACAACAACCCCGAATGGGGTTAGTAGTATTGGAAATAAATAAAAAAAAATTAGCATGTCTTCAAACTCAGAATACAGATTCGGTAGAACACGTAACAAATTTTACAGGAGACCGCAGAAGAAAAAAAAGTATAATCCGTGAAGAAGCAATGATCAATAACCCTCTTTTGGGGAAGCCATAGACGAGACAAGGAGCAATGCTCACCCAACAATTAATATCAGAGATTTTCACAGGTGTGAAGATTTACTAAAAATAAGTCAACATTTAATTGTTTGTCACTGTTTTCTGAACTTGGAGGCCAGCCTACACGACCAAAGAATGTAGGCTTTTAAAAGTAGGCAAAATTTCCACTCTCATCAAGCTACCCCAAATGCTTCTCCCGTCTCAGCCGCTCCTCCGAGCACGTCGGCGCAAAGCAGTGAAGATCGATGAACGCCAATGCCCGAGGCAAAGTTGGAAAGCTTGATACGAGCAGCAAAAGTACCACGACATGGGGGCAAGTGGTTACTATGATAATCATGTAATCTTATTTGGAGCAGGAGACCCTGGCTCTGCCTTATCACAAGCAGCGGTCATCTAGCAGAGGGTCTCACGAATATATATCTCATTGCTCGCATCATCCTCCAGAAGTTGATGATGTGGCCAGGGGATCAATGAGAGAGTTTTAGCTAGGGCGACAAGGGATGCCGTCAAATGTTTAATAACTTCTCTTTAAAAGTCGGTGCTTTCCTTTGACGCCACAATTGACAATTGAAATCAAACTAGCGGAATTAAGAAAATCGAGCACAACAGAAGCTCACGAGTGTGCCGCCAAAAGACAAATAAGTTGCGAAAGACCATTTCAAACCTAATCTAAACCCGTGCCTACACGACGGCCGCGTAAGAATTAAGGCCAAAAAGAAAAAGATGCGAGAAAGGGGGTGAGTGGGCACAAGTTAGAGGGTGGTCATGGTCCGAGGCCCAATGCGTGACGTTGGCTGCGTCAAGTAACAGTTTTTTGACGCAACAGACGGGAAAGAAAACAGACCCCAAACGAGAAACTAGTACATATGTCCCTACGAGAGTACAACGAGATTGGCATTCATGAACGCGACGACCGCGAAAGTGTATCAATCGAGAATGTATCAATAAGGTTCTACTTCGCGAGAAAGCTTGATCAGTGTCTCAATTTTAAATTCTTTTAGTGATTGCAAAGACTGTCTCTCATAAGCCCTGTTAAAAAGTGCAAGTTTTTTATTTATAAGTAGGATGGTTTACACTTACAAGAAAACCGGAATTATCCCGAACTTTCGCACGAAAGATGTCTAGGCATTCTAAACATATGCGACACTTTTTTGCACTGAATTGAAACGAGTTCAATAAAAATTACTCCATTTACAAATATATGATAATTATCTATTATCCTGTTCTGTACTTCGTGCAAAGTGAATTCCTATTGTAAATACAAAAGATTTAGTTAACGTTTTTATAAGAAAAACAAGCATTCAACTGACTAAGCAAATATAATATATTGTTTCACAAGGTTATAAAAGACATAGCAGTCCGAGACCTCATTGCAGGAGGCAAGAACCAAGCATTAAATAATTTAGTTATTTTAATGTTTTTCTGGGGGGTATTTTTTTTTTTAAATAAAATTAAGTGACACTCAATAAAACACTTTTGAGAATCAACAGCATGTAAGAGCAAGAGACAGAGAAAAGGTCGCACCAATCTTGAAGTTATTGGTGATGAGGGTCGGGCAAGTGAACAGCCGAGGGAAGATCATGTAGATTGGAATGTTAATGCCATGACACACGTCGCCTTCTCCAATCTGGATGTTCTGGATCTCGGTCGCTGCACAGTTAAATATGGAGATGAACATAAACATTTTCTTGCATGACATATGTAAATAGGAGCTAGAAAACTCATCCTTTTGAAAACAACCCCAGAAAAAAGACAATACAAGACAAGCCTTTACATCTAAACAATAGTTAAATGAGAAGGCACTAACTTATCAAGGTGCACAGGTACACTGCTCCAGGATACACTCATATGACGACTATCTTGGAAATCGAGACACCCAGATTAATAAGATGGTATTACTATTAAATTTACTATTTATAAAGATAAAAGACTGTTTCAAGCAAGTGCCACAACAAAACATTATTTTCGTCAAGTCAGGTTGCCATGACAACTAATATCGACAACGATATCCAAAGACAGGTTCACTAGTGCCCTTCTGTCGAGCCCTGAACAACCACTGCCCCAATCTTGCAGGTGTCTATAACTATCGTAAGTACCCGAGTGCAGAGGGAGATGGCAAGAAAGGAAGGAAGAACCTCTCGTTGGCAAACATTTTCCCCAGATAAACAAGCTTCCAAGATTTTCACAAAACCTTGGCGAATCGAACCGTCCAATCTGAAAGCCGCGCGACCGAAACACCTTCGGGGGAATGTTTCGCCGATCACCTCCTACATTCACCGTGGTGAACAGGACGTGCACCGGCGGCTGCCACACTCACCATCTCGAGCGTAGCCCTCTGCGCAGCCGCACGTCTCCACACGCACCAGTTGCAGCTCGATGGAGCGGATGGGCGAGTCGCACGACTCCACCGACAGCTGCCACAGAGCCAAAAGACCGCCGTCAGACTTCCCCACAGCCCACTGTCACCACATTACTCTCTTCTAACTCTCGGGTGCAAACAAACGGAAGACGGTCCAACCTCTAAGCAATAGTTTAGCCTCTAAATATTCCAGAATAGAAGTGTTCTGCCCCCAAAGCAATCTGGGATAAGAGATTCTTTAAAAAGCAGCATACACAAGCCGGTGACATTATATCTCAAGTTTCAGTTTGATTAATTCAAAATGTAGGCAACTCACAGCCATGAAACGTGACTGTTTCTTTATGTTTTGTGTCAATCCAGCTTTCAGCCGTACTGTTTAAGCTAGAGTCACTTTGTGTTTACTTGAATACCAGCTGAACGTTTAGGAAAAGCGATGGAGAGAAGAAAACAAAGAACCACACTGCTGGGGTTCTTGTCAATATCGCTTTTCCTAAATGTTTAGCTGGTATTCAAGTAAGCATGTCTAACCAACCGGCTCAGCTCCAGGCCGTCACTTTGTGCGTTGAGAGAACCAGAACTGCCGACCCTCATTCCAGAACCATTTAGCAGCGGCACAGTCGACCTCAAATGAAGAGCCTAGATTTAAGAAAGGAAGCAACTCAGACTATGGGGAGCCTTTCCAATTTAATGGCAGACGCCTCTGTGCAGATTGGGAGCATGTGCACACGTGTGTATTGTTGAATGGCGAGAAGGATAGCGGGGGTGAAGGGGAGGGCGGGAACACTTGCGGGCAATAGGAGGGGCTTTGGGCGCTTCAGCTTCCCCCTTCCCCTAAAATCCAGCCAACTCTATAAATACACATGCATTTTGACCCCCCCCCCCCCCCCTTCTACATCCCAAGTCGTGGACACCTCAGGCACCTCAGCCACCGCCGCCGCCCCTCCCCCGTCCACAAAAATATTCCTGGCTACGCCATTGCCAGTGTTGCACAAGTTCATTTCCGGGTGCCCAAGGCATCAGGGAGCAGCAGCCGGCAACAAGAACCTAGAGGAGAGCCACGAGTGCAGCACTCACCACGCCAGTGAAGGGCTTCGTGATGCAACAGGAAGTGCTGTCGATCTTGCCTTTCACCAGGAACTGGGGCACCTTGGAACGCTGACCAAGGAAAAAGAGTACATCACACTCCCATGCTGGCACCAGGCCGAGTCAGAAATATGCGTGTCCTAGGGTACTCTGGCGTCTGCCCATTCCGATTTCTACTAAACTAAGCAAAAAGGCACCGATGAATGTATGGCAACTATTATTCCGACAAACCGACGAAAAAGGTGTGCATAGAAAATTCAATACATGGATTGGCTTCCTTTCTAAAGATATGTAGCCAGAAAAGTTAATGCAACTGAGTGAAAAGTGCATCTTGGATAAACACAAATTTTTATGCCAAACCCTGTTTAGAACAAATGCCGAAAGCTAGAAATACAAGTACTGTGCAATATTCTAATATATTTAAAACTATAACAACATTAATCTAACAAATAAAAAACTACCTATGCATCCATAGAAACATTTACTTCTAGAAATAAGCAGTTCACCTCAGGCTTTCGATCAACCTTATTAGCACCGCTATGCCTAAACTGTACAAGATAGAAAGGTAAAAAGAAAAACAGCCCTTAAAGCTGTCTCCCATAAATCTTTGCAAAGATGCCTGCTGGTTATGAGGAAAGCTGAATGCCATCAAACTTTAGTCTTACTCACATCTCTCACATTCTGCAGTGACTCTGGAGAAATGTTGATATTCACAGGAACAGGCACAGATTTCTCGGATCCCTCCTATACATAGAAGATAACAAGATAATCACCATATGATCCGAAAAGTGCAGCCAAGCGCTGGGCAATATCGGCAGCCACCCTTCAAAAAATAAAAAACCACCGTGATAGCACCTGCCTCTAGTGACAAGAGTTGTTATTAGCCACAAGCTCTACATAGTATTCAGCTCTCCAGGTCAAACCACCCAACTTGTACATAGTTTGGCCTCAAAAATCTTCACTTCCAGTTTACTGATTCCATGATTCTATATTCTTCTGGGTGTGTTCCCAAATGTTTGGGTTAGTTAGACTGCAGTATATTTAAATAAACATATGTGACAAACCAAGAGTAAATATGCCACAAAACCTAAAAGACCACTTCTTTCAAAAAAAGAAAAGATGTGCACTACGTAAATAGTTTTACCACAAGTTTACCACAATAAAGAAGGTTCCCTAATTATAATCATGTAAACTCAATTGCACATGAAAACTCGTATTGGTAAATACGGAAACGGCATCGCTGAATACATGAGGTTTATCCTTTTTCGCTCTCGTGACGCTCTCGTGACGCGCGAGTGTGTGCGTGCTCGGATCCTGTGGCCCGTATGCCCCGATCAACGCCTTCATCCACTGCGCGATCAAAACCGAAACCAGACATAACAGAAACATAATAATTTTACTTTAAAATCACCCTCCGAAGCTGAACGTACCATTAATCACGTTTCCCTTTTGCCACTCACCGATTTTGCCCCATTTTCACATTAATGCAAATTCTATGCCTTGCTCTTGAGATACTGAGCTCACATTTTGTGGAGAGTTCCATCAAGTTCATTTGAAGTAAAGCTAAGACTTCTGGTTCTTCAATAAAGCAGACAGGGTGCTTCCAACTGGAATGGCCCCTTTAAACGGTATTTAACAGCCCGTTCACGTGTCATCGGCTTATATCAGCAGCCCCCTAAAAATCTCTTCCAATTAGTATTCTCGTTACAGCTTTTTAGGACCACATAAAGACCGTAGCAAAGGAAGACACATGGGCTATGATAGAGGTCCTTAAACACTCATAAACTGACGTCTTTCGAAGATACAAGAAAAACGGCCAATTCGGGAGGTTACCTTGAACTCGACGATGAACTCGAGCGTCTTGTGCAGGTCTTTGTTGAGTAGCGACCTCTTCATCTCGCACCTGAGCAGGTACTGCAAGATAGAAGATCTGGCCTTGAGCAAGGTCCCCCTCTATTCCTTCACCGTGTGGTTTTCTTCCACAGCCACGGGTTTAGCGAAGCAAGGCAAGAGTCACTAAATATTTTCACCCTAAAGGGACACTGACAGGGTATTTATGCTCGCCAAGGTTTTTATTTGTATGTGACATATAAGAGCCAAACTTCCCAGAACACAATCTGTGGCTCGAAATTCGTTTTTTTCCACCTGAAAACCGCCGATCGAGCACTTGCCGGTTTGTGTCGCCTCACTCTCTTCTTTGTGGTCACGTGCCATTTCTTATGGTTTAGACACAAACACAAAATATAATCAGAAATATAATCAAAGTCATGGGTCATTGAAGGCACGCACTGAATATTAAAAATAAAAGAAAAATATAATACCCATTTTTCGTGGCTTCTAAAAGCTGCAAATATGTCAATTGAAAAATAAAAGTTGCACAGCCACGTGACTTCCGGCAACACTCTCCTCCTCTATATTCGGTTTGGTTAGTTCGATTTCAGTTTCAACCAGTTGCATTATTTTACTTTATTCAAAATATGTGTGACACTGTAGCAAAACATTGATTGGGTAGTCTTCTGATGCCATAACGAATTGACTAACAAAAAATACAAAATACATTTTGGAGCGTGTCAGTGTCCCTTTAAGTTTAAAATGCCATGAATGTTTCCAGGATACCATGCTCAGAAGCATGTGCCAGGAATAAAAGTCGAGCACACTCACTGGTCGCTAACAGACCTATCAATACCCATGGAGTCAGTCTAGCTGAAGCCAAGCTGGAGGCAAGGCTAGTAAAACTGCTGAATGATGACAGTGTATGCTGTGTCTTATGTCCTAGAAATGAAACAGGATATGCTACACTTATGATGTGTTGCCTGACACACACTTTTGTCTCTATGTGGCAGAAAACAATTAGCTTTCAGAGCCAACATTTCTCACTTCATTGACGCCTTCAGATCGATGCAGTTTATATAAAAAGAAAATAATTTGCCATGAAATGTATCTCCACTAATGCTTTTGGAATGAATGCATGCCACTATGTCCACAGAAAGAGTTGGCTTCTTTGGGTCTAAGCTTCTTAGAGTAGAAGCAGCTTCTTGGTAAAATGTAGTCGCCACTGTAATTTGTTCCTCATGCATCGACATGGAGCTCACACTATTGAGTAGAAACTTGTTCATGTAGTACTCTGCAAGCGCTGAGTGACCCTAGATGCAGTGAACTAAAGGTTTGCGTGAGTCTAGAAGCACCATAAATGCAACAAATTATTTTACCAATGGTGCGATATGCCCACAAAAAACAACCTCATTTGGTCAAGCTGGCAGTTGAAACAGGTGAAATTTGGGCAATGAGGATCATTCGGACACAAGCAAGACGGTCTGTAGGAAAACAGCTTACCTGAATGTTGATGAAGACTCCGTGGTAGGTCTCGTAGAGTGTCCGATTCCCCTTGGGACGCAGGGGAAACTCGAAGGGCAACTCAGTCCTGCCCGCAGGAAGCCGGCCTGGCTTGGCCACCTCCAGGCTGTAGTGGATCAGCTGCACAGGCTGCACGTCCATGCAAGGGCAGGATTACTCTCGTTTAAGAAAGCAGTATTGGTTTGTAAATGAACTTCATTTGGCTGCTGTGGCCCCTTACATGACAGCATTTCTTGCTCTGCTGAGCATCTCAGCATTTTAGGTGGATGGCAGATATAGACCACCACGCTGTTTACAAACAAGTCTGCGTCTGCTGGCATCGTGTGTGGGCACCGCGTGTTTGCAGCGTCTGCATGTGTGTCATGGCGAGAGCGGCGCTACCGCAGCTGTGCGAAGTCACAGCCATGCATTGGTGCACAGGTTCGATTTCAGATTGATGCAGTGTAGTTGGAATTCACCTTGACAGAGGAGTAGAAGGCTTCAAAGATGCCCACATTCTTGGCGCTGAGCTGCATGGTGGCGCTACCGTCGAGGGACAACGTGAGGCCCTCATGCTTCACCTCAGAACGGCTTTCCACCACCACCACTCCCACCACATCTTCCTGTAGGCAAGGAAGTACAAAGGTGGTTATAAAGCATCGAACCCCACAGGAAAAGGAATTTGTGCAGCTTGGTACCAATGTGGGAGGGTGCGACAACAGTGCATCTGCTATGCAGATGCACTGTTACCACACCCTTTTACACTGAACTTAAAAATCGACTGGACTGCTACAGTGTTTTTGTGGCACTATACTCAAGTATAGTGCCACAGAGTGAACTACACTCAACGCGGCTCATAACTGTTGTTATATTTTTCGTGGTGTGGCTCAGACATCCGGGATGATGGCAGCCCACATAGCAGCACTGACAACTACTGAAAGTTATGTAAAAACTACACCAGTTTATAGACCAATAAGAAAAAGACAGTGAGTGGTTTAGAAAGGACAACTTTCGCATTTTATAATGTTCAGTGCAGAACCATACTAACATTCTCAGCCATTCACGCACATTTGGTAGGTGTGGTAGATCTGACATTCTTATGCCTGAATACTTTGATGGCATCTTAAAACCCAAACAAATCAGAAAAAAAATAAAAAAACTCAATTGACATTTGTTTTAGAACAAACGAGTCGACCATATGACAGGTATAACGACTTTGCTTTCGCAGTGGAATAATGTTATCCCTGTTACAGCTAACCTTCAAGTGAGTCAGCTGAAGAGTGTCTTTAATTTCCATTTTCTTCTAAATCCCACTAGAAACAAAACTTGTTTTATTTTCTTAAGTTATAGACTTGGGGAAAATTTCTTTCGTAGAACGTTGACTAAATGCCGCTAGCTTCCGAGGAAACAACTCAGCAATGTAACACCACTAGCTAATAAAATGCCACGACGTAGGCTTGAGCAAGTCAGGTAGGCGACTTTGCTACTGGGGAACCAAGGCGAACGCAAATGTGCGCATGATGTGTGAAAATATCCAGAGCTGATAAGTTGGCTGGACTTACTCCTTCGTGGTATATCTTGTTTATCTTCTTGAGACGGATGTCCAAGGTAGTCATGCTGCCGATGGGAGAAGTCTGAATCTGATTTAAAACAATTGCTTTAAAACCTCAGATAGCTCAATCCTCACAGGCACGAAGTTTCAATGAACTCAGTTTTGAATTGTCGTTTTGGAAGAGCAGAAAAACACGCAACCCATAGTAAGACTCTACATATTCTACGCCGCCCCCGCGGCGTTCAGAGGCGAAACCAGCGAAACCAAGCCCATAGAGATCATATACTAAATCTAGAGGAAAAGGTCCGCCATTTTCCCATGCATTCTGGCTGCCGCAAGCGGCGGACCATGCAGGCAGACCCTCTGGGTCCCAAACACGGTTACGTCATCAGAGCAGTTTCGTGAACTTCAACAATCCACGAACTTACCGGTGGAAAGATACTCGCGTTCTTTTCGAAGGTTTCTTTTTGCATAGCGCGCAGATGTACGGCCTCGCGTTAACGCTAAACTAAACCATATACCCGGCTTCGCTGGTGGGGCGCGGCTGGGCGCGGTTGAGGAATACGAAACTGCGCAACCACCAGATTTCCGAGATTTCGACAGAAGGGAAGTTAATGCAGCGTAATAACTTTATTGCTTTTTATAAGCGCTAGAATAGCTCAGGATTTAGTTTACAACGTTAAATTATCACTGTTTATATTGCTGGGAGTTTTCACTCTTCGTGTTTACCATGGCAACGTTGCTTTCTTTCTCTCGTGTTCTGTCACTCTCTTTTGCGATCGTTCACTCGGGACCCAGGATGTCGGCGCACGGGATTTGCCACTCCTCCTCACCCACCTTTACCCCCCTGACCAAGCCCAGAGCCCAGTATGGATCGGATTGGATTGGAGTGATTGCAATTTGGATTCCATACCATCTCCCGTTGCTCCTTGCATTGACGTCACATCGCATACTTTTGAACACCAAGTAAAAGGAGGAGAGGGGAGCTGCTTTTGTAAGAATTTTGAGTGACAGGTTAATCTTCTATAATCTTCTGGGGGGAGAATGGGCGCGTTCAGTAGCGGCCCCGGAGTCAAGGAGTCACTGACTCCTTCCACTGGACGGCCAAAAGTCACTTCCGGTGCACGTAACTCCGGGGCTTCGGAGTCAAGCTCCGAAGCACCGAGTCCGGAGACGGTGCACGTAGAGTCAAAGGAGCTAAAATGACGTCATTTCCTGACTGGCGACGATTTCCGGCGCTAAAAGAGGAAACAACAAACAATATGGCGGGATAAACTGCTTCGGTTCTGTCGCGGGTGCGCGGTTTGCTCGCTTTTGTTAATGAAAAGTGCTCTAGGTAAGACGAATAACGCTTTCGAATATCTTTTTCAGGTAAGGCTCTTTTCGGAAAATGCATTGAACCGTATTTTGTTTGGTTTGAATATGCTAATAAACAACGCAAACGTTCATTTGACGCTGTGTCTTGATCACCGTTGCACGGAAACTCGGTAATTGACGATAGTCCTGTCCGCGCTCAACAGAACAAAACAGGGTATGAACGCGACTTTGGAAGCCGTTTGGACACTCACGCAGAGCATGATACCGATTAATGTTTTGTTTGCGTAGCTAAATCGGGGTGCACGTTGGCTGAGGCTCGCTTCGGCCGACAAAACCTTGATCGCCGAGCGCGGCCGAACTTCCCGTGTGTATACGAATACATTTTATGGGAAGTTCGTTACGAAGGGCAGAACAAACTTATGGCCGTATAAAAGTATCGCAACCGGCGGGGTAGATTCGCTGAGCTCTGTATTTTGCGTGTGCTGACGACGTTTTTTGTCGGCTTTTATAACAGTAGCTGCCTTTGCACCGCCAAGCGAAGGGCTCGATCGCGTTGCATCGCTTCGAACAGCAGCGCTGATGTGTACAATCACCCGCTTTTTCTTCAACGACCTTGTAAAGACTTTTTCAATACCGGGGTCAAATAAAAGCGATCGTGCTCGCCATCGTCTGCTTCCAGTTTATTCGGAGACCGTCTGGCGCAGGGGAGGGAGCGGAAGTTGCGTAGAAGCAGGCTTGGAGCCGCGGGTTTTTTTGCCGTTCAGTAGGCGCTCCGATGACTCCAACTCGAGGCACTCCGTTCGGAGGCAAGGGAGGCGCTACTGAACGCGCCCAATAGCGACGCCTGTACAAATCCGGGAGGCACAAAGGAGGATCCTGATAAGAGGGGAGCTCCTTCTTCCCCTTTTCTCTGGAGGGCATCGGAAGTGACGTCATGTGCAAGATCATATACTAAATCTAGAGGAAAAGGTCCGCCATTTTCCCATACATTCTGGCTGCCGCAAGCGGCGGACCATGCAGGCCAGGGGGGTAAAGGTGGGTGAGGAGGAGTGGCAAATCCCGTGCGCCGACATCCTGGGTCCCGAGTGAACGAACGCAAAAGACAGCGACAGAACACGAGAGAAAGAAAGCAACGTTGCCATGGTAACGCGAAGAGTGAAAACTCTCAGCAATATAAACAGTAATAATTTAACGTTGTAAACTAAATTATTAGCTATTCTAACGCTTATAAAAAGCAATAAACTCATTACGTTGCATTAACTTCCCTTCTGTCGAAATCTCGGAAATCTGGTGGTTGCGCAGTTTCGTATTCCTCAACCGCGTCCAGCCGCGCCCCACCCTATGGCCCCACCGGCGAAGCCGGGTATATGGTTTAGTTTAGCGTTAACGCGAGGCCGTACATCTGCGCGCTTTTCAAAAAGAAAGCTTCGAAAGGAACGTGAATATCTTTCCACCGGTAAGTTCGTGAATTGTTGAAGTTCACAAAACTGCTCTGATGATGTAACCAATGTAACCGTGTTTGGGGGAAGTGCTTCCTCCGACGGGCGTCGGAGGAGTGGGACCTGTGTGGAAATCGTTCCTCCGACGCCGGAAGTGACGTAGTCGCGTCGGAGGAGAGACGGCCGTGTGGAAATCGTTCCTTCGACGCCGGAAGTAACGTATCATCCCCAGCCCCGGATGTTGCCTTTGTTATGACATGTGGCCGGCCTGGCCGGCCATGTGCGTCTGCCGCTGTAGTCTTCTGTGGTCGGGTCCTGGCCACGCTGCTGTCGGCTCCGGTCACGCAAGCTATTTTGACTGATTTTTCGCACTCTTTGAAGCGTTTTGTTTAGCATTGTCTTGTTCTTTTTAGCAATACATTTTTCCGTATCTAGTGCTACTCTTTGTATTTTAGCTTTGATCGCACCCCCAACGTGCCTCGAGTTTTGGTAGCCGGCGATTCGATGGTGAAGTACTTGCCATTGAATAGTCGGTTGGCTGTTGAGGTTGCGCCGTTTAGTGGTATTAGAATCGAGCACTTGTTTTCCCAGGTGTCTGAGAAGCTACCCGATTTTGATGTTGTCATCCTACACGTTGGCACTAATAATTCCCATATTAGTGCCAGCGTGTACATCGACAAATATCGTCGTCTAGCTGCCCAGATCTGTGAACGCAATCCAGTGATGCAGATCGCCTTTTCTGCCGTTCTTCCGAGACGGGAGAATAGGTTCTGCTCATTGGAATGGCAGCGTAGTCACGCTGCAGAGATCGAGGCTTCGAATGACCGTTACCGAGAGGTGAACTCGCTGCTGCGAGAGTTGTGTCGCAGGGAAGGGTTCACGTTCCTTGACGGGCTAGCTGACGAGTGGCACCAGTGGATCCACCGCGACGGCGTCCACCCAAACCGGATCGGCAACAAGGTATGCACACGTGCGTTATGTCGCTGCACTAAAGAGCGCGAATATAGGGCGGCTACGATTGCAAGGCTCACCGTAAAAAGGGGAACTGAAAATTGACCTGCGCACGTGGCGAGCTAAATTACTGGTTGGATTCAACTGGTTGACAGAACGGTGCCAACTCCAGCAACGAAACACGGCACAACTTGGAAGGTTGACCAGTCTTTATTGTCAAAAACCGAGAATGAAAATAAATAGGTTCGGTGACGTTCACGTTTCCGGATTGAAGGAAGCACAGCGTAGCTCTAAGGACCGCTTCAGTTGCCTCGTTAGCTAATTGCGACGATTGAATCGCCCTTTCAGAGCGAGTATTTGTGCGAGGTGAAAAATTTGCCGCTGGCGTCTGTCAGCACCCGTGACGACGTCCCTAGCTTCTCTCCATCGCGTGAAGAAAGGTGCTCACCCGTGTTTCCGCGTTGCGCAGGTGAAGTCCTGATAGGATGCGGTTGCGCTCCCACCTTACAATCAAACAATTCCAATTGCTTGTGTCACAACAGCTGCCAGTTCGGGTAGACTTTCCGCCATTTTTACCATTGTGCTCTCCGCGGCTGTTTTCTCTTCCGTCTGGTTTCTCCCTGGCTGCCCTCCGGTCGTTGAACTGCATCTTTCTGCCCTCGAAGTTCACCGTTGGGTCGCAAGAAGCGCAGATATGGTTTTGACATTTTCATAACGACACGTTTATCAATACACCAACTTTGGCGATGGTTTCCCTTCTCTACCGACCACTGGATGGACGGATGGATGAATCCGGCTGAGCCCTTTGGATCGGGCGGTAGCTTGCGCCACCTAGCCATTCTGTTTTACCATTTAAGCTTAGAATATTTAAAGGTGAAAGCTATATTCACTCCGCACTGCAAAGAAAGTGAGGCTATAAAACACCCTTGCCATCAGTTAATAAGAAAATACCTAGTTTTCTCTCGCCTTCTGCCACCATTCACTTAATATTTGCTTGGTAATCTCTACTGTCTTGAAATCCACTGTTCCTTCGCTGTTTCTAAAACCCAATGACTTTATTAAATCTATGTTCTCTTCGTATCAAGTATCAAGTGCTCAGCCGTCTCGTCCTCCTCTCCACAAGCAGTGCACACTGTATCCATTTCCTGGTACTTCGCTCTGTGTGTTCTGGTTTGCAGTACACCCGTCCTCGCCTCAAACAACAATGAGCTTCCCCTAGAATGGTCATAAATGCTTTCTTTGGCAATAACTGTTTTGTTTAATTTATAGTTTTCCAGAGCTGTCTTTGTCTGCATTCTCTCTAGCCACCAATCTCTTTCTGTGGCCTTAACTGACACCTGCTCTTCCTAAGTCCACTATAGCCTTAAAAACTGTCCTCCTGACTCCCTAGTGCACTGTCTCCAGTTTGTATCTATACTCCTCATGTATAAATAGCTGAAAACCTTTTGTGCCCATTGCCACCCATCCATCTGCCTCAACCAATCCTCAAATTCTATCTTGCTCACCGCTTCCCTGCTCTCAAAGGACGCCCATCCCATGTCTCCTTGTACTAGCTCCCTGGTTTGGTGTTTTGCAATGTGTCCCCAAAGCCAGCCTACCTACTCTGCACTGTTTTATTTCTAGTCTCGCATGCACTTCGGATTTCACGCATAGCACTGCATTTCCAAAAGTCAAGCCAGGCACCATGACCCCTTTCCAAATCTCTCTCACCACCTCATACCTGTTGTAATTTCAAAGTGCTCTATTTTTCATTACAGCTGCATTTCTGTTGCCCTTACCTATTATATACTTTTCATGCTCACTGAGATATTCTGCACCATCACATATCCATACTCCTAGGTACTTGTATTTACTAGCTTTCTCAACTGTAATATTCTGTACCTTCAGCCTCTCAACTTCATCATCGTTAAAAATCATGATTGGTGATTTTTCACTGCGTCACATGTGCCATCTGTCGACAACGCGCAAAACTAATCCGCATGCGTGTCACAACGGCCTGCTGGGTCCGATTTAAAAAAAAAGGGAGTAGGTCTTTGCTTCAATGTTTAATACATTTTTATACATGTACATAAATGTTGATTTAAGTAAATATTTTTTATGCCACTAATTATATTGCAATTTATAAAAGGATATGTACATTAAAATTTGACATATTTTTCTAAATACATAAATGTATACCTAGTAATTAAAGGTTTACCCATTTCTGTAAATCTATATATTTAAGTTTTTTTTTCCCTTCACTAGCAAAGATCAATACACCCCCATCTTGTCGAAATGGACACGGCATGTGAACCCTAACAGGGAATGGGAAAACAATTGAAACTTCCCGTGGGAATCCCTCCAACCAGTTAACTCCTTAACTGGTCCTAGTTACCCCTACCCGTCCCCCATCTGGGCATAGTCAAGCCAGTTGACCCCTCAGCTAGTCCCAGTTGCACTCCTATTGATAACAGCCAATTCCAACTTGGGACCAGTTAGTTCCAGTTCTAACCAGTCGAGATGCCAACCGGTCTCAGTTAGACGTTTTGGCATAGGTGCCTTGTATGTAAAGCTAAAGGCGCAGCACCTTTTCTGTGAAATCTTCAAGGCAACATCTTTAACAGTTTGAACGAGTGAGGTGACTGCAGCTGACAATCAGCTTTGGTGCTAATGTCAAGTACCGTGTGCAGGTCCTCGCTGGGTTCATGGGCCAGCAAGTACGGAGCATCCAGGAGAAGGTGGCCAGGGCCAAGGTCCAGCAGGACCACAAGGAGGCAATGCCAGGGACCCGCTCGTGGGACGGGTGGACCATCAAGGGTGCCCTATTGACTGCGCCATGTTGTCTCTTCAGAATTCTCCGACGTTTCCAGCAAAGTTTTGTTAATCTGACGACATAGTCTTTCTAAGAGGGTGGGGAATTATAGCAAAAAGTTTGTGGGCCTCACATCTGGTAACAAGAAGGCTCCAAAAACAAGGCCCCTTGAAAACTGAGCAAGTTGCTACTTGTGTAAATTGGCTCTGAAGAAACCACCAACTAGGCGCTGCACAGTCCGATGATTCTTTCCGAGTCTGAAGTGCTTCGAGGGAATCGGAATTTTGTGTTATAATGTGAATAAACTGTTCTGCATTACAAATCGAGTTTGATGTTGTTTACTTACATTTGGGGGGGTGCCAATTTGTCTTATACCTTAGTAGTTACATCAACACACTGCATTTGATATCAATCCTGCCCCAACAATAGCTAGCGCACATGGGCCCCTTTTTTCCTTTCTGATCACTCCACAAATAATGCCCGGTGCTTCTCTGCGTGCACCAGAGCAACGTAAGAAAGCTAACTGCGAGAGCACTGGCTTTTCTCTGCAGCGTGGAGAAGGTTACCAAAAAAGAGCTGGTGCTTTTCACATGCACCGGTGCGATGTGGGAAAACTTACAGCGAGAGCACGAGTGCTTCTCCGCGTGTACTGGTGCAACAAGGAAAAGCTTAACTTGAGAGAATTGTCGCAAAGTATTAAGCTTGATACTAGCATTGTATTGAGAACACCACAGTTTGCAGAGACGTGGTTCATTACTCCGACAGGCTGGAAGTGCACTGTGGAGGCATTTGTTTACAGCATTTTCAAAAAAAAATTTGTTTTACTGTCGAAGGATGTATGGCCATATCGGTAGATTATACAAAAACTTTCTAACACAAAGAATGGAAAGAAACTACAGTGGACTGCTTCCTTCAACCAGCAATGACAGTGATGAATTTTGTTGCTGGTTGAAATAAGTAGTAGTCGTCTGGAGTTAGTATTCTATTCCTTTTATGTCCAAAAGTTTGAAACCAACACTTTATTCTTATTTTCCTGCTAATCCTTAAATGAATGCTTTTCAGAGGCTGCTGGCCCAGATAGCTAACAATTTCTTTGTTTGCATTGTTCGGCCAAGCATCACAGCTACCAGATAACTGGGTTCTAGTTGCCTGGTAGAAAAGCTGTTTTTCTACCAGGCAACTGCACGTGCCGTCCTGATTTTCTTTCTTGAATAACATGGGATTGGGCCTGGGTGCAATACTGCAGGAAACAAATGATCCGGAGCGCAGGTACCACTTCCACAAGATGCAAGGAAATTCCTTTTATTGGGAGTGACAATAATAAGACATTAATATTTGACTCACAAATTCATTGCCTTGGTCGACACGGGAGCCACAAATTCCTGCACATCACATGCAGAGTAATTACTACGGGCAACGAACACCTATTGCACATGGGTAATAGCAAATACGATGCGATGTGGAATGATGTTACTGCTTCTTGCAGGCATGTCCACCCTATTTAAAGAAGGAGTCTGTGAAGATGTCCACCGATGCCTTTCTAAACAACTACAGGCAAACTAGAGCAGAACTGTTTCATGTTCCTTCGTGTGTAACCAGACATTTCGTATGCTTTTATGTGTGCTCACTGTGCAATACCTCACGTCTCTGGGATTCAGTCATATGATGCCATCGCTCCACCTCGCCTTTATATATCTGCATCTGTAGCAATGTACCGTCGCCATTTGGATAATCTTACATTTATTTGTTTGTTAACTTTATAAGTGTGTTTAGGATTTTTTTGTTTGCTGGTTTTATTGTTTGTTTTGGTGTACCACGGGGCATCCAAGATAAAGACTGATGACACCCAAAATAAAGATGATTATTATTATAAACCTGTTGCTGACCCTCCTAATTCGAGGGCCACAAATGACAGCCCTTTTTTGCCAGCACTATCTACTATCGTTGTAGCGCTGCCAAATCATTATTTGCAAAGAAAAGTGGTGTAAGATAATTCCTTGTGTCTCTGCGGTACAAGGCAGCGTTTGCCTTTGCCTGATTGACACCTACACAGAGTCGCAAATACTTTTCCAGAAGCTCTTGTCTCCACTATAATCAACTATATAAAGAACATGACATTGCCACTCTTTCTGAGCATTTGTGCTACCCACTTATCTACACACTTGAAGCATAAAAGCAGCAATATTACAATATTAGTAAGTTAGCTATAAAAAAATTAAACAGTTTGGTTCCTGCATGGGACATCCTGATTCAATCGACTTATAGATTCAGTGTCCATCCGATCGATTCCAGAAAAGCAGACCGTACCGAATTTCACCTGCAGGATGCAAAGTTATGTAATAGTATATCAACAAAATGTTGGAAAAAAATTGTTCAGCCCATCTTCATCCCTTGGCCATCCCCCATTGCCCTCGTATAAAGAATTGAGGGCTCAATGTCGCATGCTGCAAATGAAATGATTGGCAGTGGTCATGCACTGACACACATATCGACAGGGTGGAGGATAAAAATCAAGTTGATTTAAATCGAAATCATGATTTAGACCACAACTTTAATCATACAGGTAAATTACTTTTAAAATGTAATTTAATTACAATTACTTTGCTCCAAAAGTAGTTTAACTACAGTTACAATTAGTACTACCTGAGAAATAATTCATTGCAATTACAAATTACTTTGCTGATGACATCATCAGTGATGATGACAATGCTAATGTCGGTGACGTCATCAGTGACGTCACTGATGTCATCATCAGTGTTGATGATGCAAGGATTTCCGGTTGGCACCGGAAATCCTTGCAAAAGTAGTTGTAATTGTGCCTCAAAGTTTGTAATTACTGATGCTAAAAAGCAAATAAAGTACAATTGCAGCCCCCTTTAGCAGGAAGTAATGAATTACAAATTACCAGAAAAGTAATTAAATTACAGTAATTTAATTACTGTAATTAAATGACTATCCAAGTATGATTTGAATACCGATGTTTCAAATCAAACATTTTGATATATTAAAAAAAAACATTAATTTTACCACTGGAACCTCAACTATTTTATTGTTTTCAGGTGTATTTATATTTTCATTCCATGTAAAATAATTATTAAGTAATATTGATATGGGGATAACGAGCAAATATAAGACTTCTTTGAGGCACAAGTAAATTGTAGGATTGAACGCTTTACTTTTCAGCTCGTTCTTCAGGTATAGCAAAACAAGGGAAAGGGTAGAGTCAACAAAAGAACTGCGTGCATGAACAAGCATACAAACTCAAATACCAGCAGAGAGAGGTATAGAATCAGGCAGACAGACTAAAGTATATGTCCCTGGTTGATCTTGCATATTCTAGTGTATTTATTATTTTCAGAGAAATTATATTTCTCTCAAAAAATTATTTTGAGAAAACAGTTTAAATCTAATCAATGATTTTTTCTTTTTTTAATTTCGCCAGTGAGAAATCTGTAATTTGGTTAGTTGTAAAGTCATGTTCAGTCAATCAATGTTGCCTATTGCCATAAGTGCTCTTCGGAGGATGAGGTTCGCGCATGGATTTCTTGCAATAAATGTAGATAATGAAGAAGTATTTCTAGGTCGCTTTTCCGCAGTACACAACTTCGGAAGGTGAAGCGCACTTGCGGGTTTTTTGCTTTCCTGCAAAACTCGGTGTTTAAGGGAGAAGCACGCTTATGGAACGTTAGGTCTACTGCTTTCCCATCTTACTGCAACTGACAAGTACATTTGCTGGTTCTGCACTTTCCCACAAGGAAAATACGTGCAAGGGGAAGCGCACTTGCGAGTTACTTGGTCCGCCGCCTTCCCGCCAAACAGCAAATAGAAGGGGGAAACCCTCCTTCCAGGGTACAAGCTCTTTTCTGAGTTTCAAACTGTTCCACAAGGCACATTCTCGTAGGAAGAACCGCTTTTGCGGGTCGCGCTATTCTGGATAGCGTGCGTTTTTAATTAGAAGCACGCTTGTGGGCTTTTTACTGCACAGATGTCATAGAAAAATGTCCTTCCACTGGCAAGCAGACTTCCAAGTTAATTGTATTTGTTCCTTGAAACCTCTACTTCAGCAATGTTGCTATTGTGATGAAGCACATGTTTCCTCCCAATTATAAGGTTAGTACAAATAAATGGTGTACAAAACACGTCTTAGCTTCAGCCAAAACTCTGTACTCAGCATACAATGTGTATGTAAAAGAAAACACATGGTGGTATAGATTTGAATGATTAAATCAATATAAAACAGTAACATTTGAAGTGTAGGAACACTTCAAATGTTAAAATGTAAAGTTGCATAAGTAACGATGTACTAGAATAATGCTTTCTTTTTATTTCTTGCCTGTTTAATAGTTCCTACACTTGGAGAGTTCATTTAATAATTAATAATCGCCACAATTCAGTACCATCTAACCTCTGAAACAATAATTACATTCAGGAAGTCATCTCCAGCTATCCCATACTCACCAGTTCAATCGATCATCCCCTTGCACAGACACATAAGCTACCCTAGCCTCGCATAGGACTCCAGCTCGACTGACGCAGACTTTGCCCTTTCATACATATTTTTTTTTGAATAATCATACAAAATTTAAGGTTTCATCAGCAAATTTTAATGAGAAGGAGATGGTGGTTTTTGTGTGAAATATGATTAATAAATGAAAGATTGTGGAGGGAAGGTAAAAAGAAAGGATCAACCAATCTATGGGGGGATAGAGATAAAAGAGATGGAAGAATAAGCAAAAAAGGTGCTTGGCCCCACAGCTTCATGATTTCTTTCAGAGGGGTCAAATGATGGTGTTCCCTTCGGTCATAATCTCAGACATAATCTCCTACACCCGCTGTAAATGGTTTGGCTCTTTGCCTATCATCTGTGTATTGCTTGCTGTGCTTCTGGTAATCAGCAATGCATTGGCGGAGTTGCTGCATCTCGATGTGAACGGGCTCGTCAAAACTTGGGAAGCCCACGATGTCCATACGGGTACGCATTTTACGTCCGTGGATGAGCTCAGCGGGGGAGAGCTTCGTCGCTGCATGTGGTGTACTTCGGTAGACACCCGGAAACTCAAGGCCTGTACGAACGTTGGTTTGTTCCTGCAGGATAGTTTGGACGTACTGCTTAAGCACTCGGTTGAAGCGCTCAACCTGACCATTGGCTTGTGGATGGTATGTCGGAGAACAATGGTGGTAAATCCCTCTGGACTTCAGGAACTCCTGGAATATGCGGGATTCAAACTATGGGCCATGATCAGAAACAATCACCTTCGGATACCATTCTCGGTTGAAGATTTTAATGAGGAATTCACATACAGCTTCAGCAGTAACTTGGTTACAAAGAGCTACCTCTGGCCACTTACTGAAGTAGTCGACTAGGGCGACTGCAAATCTGAATTGCGATGGAAGTTTGTAAAAAGGTCCGACAATGTCTATTCCTATTTGTTTCCATGCACCCGATAGGAATGGAACTGGTTGTAGGGGTGCCGCTGCCGTCACAGCTGTCTTGTCGTTCGTCTGACAGGTGTTGCAGTCTCTAATGTAGGTGTCGACCTCGATGTCGACTCTGGGCCAACAGAAGTGCTGGTGTAGACGCTGCTTCGTCCGCACAATTCCAGGGCGTGACTCATGAGCTAGATCAATGAGTCTATGCCGTAGCCAAATAGGTGGAACCAACA